CGCACCGCTCACCCCGCTCTGCTCTATGCTCTGCCCTAGGAGTCAACTCCTTCATGGTGTACATGGCCTACAAGGATTTGTACCAGATGTCCAACACCGAGGTGAGACCCTGTGCCGCCCGGCTGTGCCGGTGCGAGGGGCAGGGGACGGCTCAGTAACAGTTTTTTCTTGTCTCTATTGCAGCTGTATGAGATATTCAGCTGCTTGGCAGAGCTGGGTGCCATAGCTCAAGTTCATGCAGAGAACGGAGATATCATTGCACAGGTAACCAGCCACGCTTCTGTACACGGGGACTGAAAATCCCTCCCAGGCAGGTTCGGTGTGAGGCGTTAACAAAATGACTCTAAAGCTGCAGCCTTTGCAAGGTGATCTCTTTGCTGCTCAGCAGCAACATCAAATTTACCAAGATTTTCTGCTGTGAATATGTGGTGCATAAATGAATCTGAAATAGTGAATTAGCAATTATCTAATGGAGAGAGCAGGCCTCCAAGTGCGGTGTGTTCACTCCAGCTGAAGCTCTTTTTCGTCTGTAGAGGCAGAGACCTTTGCCTTGCACATGATCAGCTAAGAGAGTTGAAGTGTATTGAAAAGTGCCATGGCAAGAGAGGAATTTTCTCCCTGCTTTGAGCAAGCAGCTGCCTAATGGAGCTGGATTTGCAAGGGAAATGTGCTGAGGGATGTGGTTTGGTGTTCAGGGGGGTTGACCTCTGTCAAGGGAGATGTTTGAAATGAGGGAATACCGGAGAAGTCTCTGGGGTACCAACAGGAGATAGGCAGCCAGCACATGCTGTGCACATGCAGTTAGCCATGGTCCTTATTTGTAACAGCAAGATACTTGGGATAATGTACGTTTCTGTGTGGTTGATAGTTTCACAGTCCTGTAACGTCCCTCTGTCCTTTTGATGTCCTAGGAACAAGCCAGGATGCTGGAGATGGGAATCACTGGCCCTGAGGGCCACGTGCTGAGCAGACCTGAGGAGGTAAGATGCGAAGGACGGTCCCAGCCTTGCTGCGCTGGGGAGCTTTCCCCCTACATCGCTGTGGGCCTTCGTGTATGTAGCGAGGCCAAGCAAGCGTCGAGTGTGTGTGTGCACCTCTGGGTATCTGTTCATACAGGCCATGCTGTCTCGGTGTTCATCAGCTCTGGACAGAGCGAGCTGCGTGTTTGTGACAAACGTTTTCCAGTCTTGCTCGAGTCTCTGAGCAGAGACAAGGGCTTCTGAGTCTCCCAGAGATTAATCGATCAACAACAAGGTCTCTATGGCTGTAGCAGCATTTGGGGCTGGTTTGGGGGCATTTGTCTCGTATGGGTGACTCCGTTGGCGTAAGAGGCCAGAGAAGAATCGAATGGCGAGTTTTAGTTCCTCTGAAAAGTCACTGTTCGCATCTGTCTGACTGCAGACAGATTCCAGCCTCTTCCTGCTTAATCTCTGCTTAGGGTCTAAAGTGCGTTTCAAAATCAGACGGACAAAGCCATTGGTGGAAGGAGTGGGGGAATTTCCTGGTTACAAATCACTGTCAAGACACTAATTAGATTACTTCTAATTTTAGCTCACAGGGTATTTTTCTGTTTGGTGCATTAATCTGAGTTGGGTCTAATTTTAGATATGTTTTCTTGAGATAGCTCCCTGCTGAGAGGTGCTTTTAACTTTCCACAGCACGTGAAAGAAGAAAACAATAGGAGTTTGGTACAATAGCAAAGCCGAGCAGGAGAGCACAGGGACAGATTTTTACTTCAGGATCTCCTGGAAATAAAATCAGTTGGCTTAAACTGAAAGTGTAAGAAGTTGACTATATTATGGCCGGTAACAACATAGATAGCCTAGTGTAACATGGTGCTTATTCTCTTTGGAGTATGAGACTGTGAAGCATTTTCCTGTACAGGGAAGAGACTCACTGTCAAGTACAGTAGATCAGAGTCCCTCTGTGTAAACTGCCATTTATTTTTATGGCTCTAGACCCATTGCCTCTAGTTGGCAAGCCAACCTGCAATTACGGGATGCTGCGGTGGTGCCAGGATTTGAGAACTGCCCTGTTATCATAAGACAGCACTGCAGTTCTTCTCGTCCAAAGGCAGCGAAACATTGTGAAACGTTTGATCTTGAAATGCCGTTAAAGCATAAGGCAACTGAGAACAGTGCAAGAAGGCTCTAGATACCGTCTGTTCAGCCAAATCAGATCTCGTTGCCTTTGAAAATAAAGCATCCCTCTTCCAGAACATCCTCTATCTGAGACAACATTAGGCAGAACGCAGATGACCCTGCCACCCCCCATAAAGGCTGCAGGTTGACAGCAAAGCGCTGGGAGGGCGGTCCATAGCTCCATGGGTCTGCTCTGTCCCGGAGGGACCTCAGCGGGGTTAAAGCTGTGCCCTTCTGTCAGGGGATGGTGGTGGTTCGGTTGGGCAGGTTGGTGCTGCTCCAGATCGTAACCTGCTGTGATGGGTACTCGGGGATGGCTCTGTTTGCTCCGGACCACACGTTAAACCCCGTCAACTACTCAAGTCCATAAGTGCACTGATAAAAATATTTTCTTGTTTAAATTTCTGTTTAAAGAATCTTTCAGCAGAAGAGAAAAGCTTCCTTTCACTGTGCAGCAAACAGGCCTGCAGAAGCGCTAGAGGTGTCGGGGTGCATGTGTGTCTGGGGCAGGGGTCTGCTTCTCCTGCTGCTGGGAGTTACGCCTGCACGGGGAGCTGCCTGGCCCGCCCGCAGTGACTGCTCCCTGCAGCTGGCAGCCCTGGCCTCCCCCGGGAGCCAGATGATTGGTACATTGGCTTTTTAAGGCTTCTGTTTTGAACTTTCTCATGCCGAAGCTTGAAGCCAAACCGTAGAGCAAACACTTGGAGAACCTCTGGGGCTGAGCTCAGGCTGAGCACGGGCTGATGTAATGGTCCAAAGATATCCCTCGCAGTAGAAATCCCCCCTCCGCCAACAGCAGGACAGCGAGACACAGAGCGGGTGTCAGCAGGCTGGGGTGAGCAGCAGCAGCACCGCAGCACAGCCAGACCCAGTGCCGACTGGTGCCCGTCCCATTGCACCCCAGCTGCAGGCAGGGTGACGCTTGGTTAAACTGAACGCAGCCGCAGGAGAGCCGGAGCAGCAAGTGGTCTGAAGGGGCAGAGCTCTCGCTGCCTGGCATCAGCCTGTGGCCCTGCTCTCAGGCACGAGCAGCAGTCCCCGGGCTTCCCTGGCTGTCGGGAGAGCTGGAGCCAGGCAGTGGCAAAGAAACAGATGCAGCTCTGTGCTGGCCGCGAGGAGGGTTCAGGCAGCGCTCCCCTGCAGAGCATCCCGGGGCTGTATCCTGCAGGCTGGGCCAGGCCATGGGGAGACTGAAGGTTCCCCTCTCGGGTGTCCCTGATTAACCTGCCCCCCAGGAGTCAAGGGTGAGAGCGAGGGCACAGGGTGTCAGCAGCAATCCGTGCGTGCTGAGAGGAGCAGGGACCCTTCCCTGCCTGCCCAGCGCTCCTCCGCAGCTGTGCACCGTTCTCTCTTCCAGCTGGAAGCAGAAGCTGTCTTCCGGGCCATCACTATTGCCAGCCAGACCAACTGTCCTCTCTACGTGACTAAAGTGATGAGCAAAAGTGCTGCTGACCTCATCTCGCAAGCCAGGAAAAAAGGTGAGTGGCAGGTGCTGCTGCAGACAGCCTTGCTGTTGCTGCTGGGGTCCTGGGGTCCTGTCAGCTCTTGGGCTGAAAGTCAGCAGGATGAAATGTCCCCTTGAGCCGTGCCTTCCTGTGCCGTGCTCCCGCCAGGCTGCTGTGCCGTGGGATCTGTGCCCGTGAGCAGGAGAGCCCTGCGGTGCTGGCAGGCAGGGCTCGCTCCTGGCTCCAGTGTGGGCCCTGCTGTCCCTCCTGCCTGCCCCAGCACCCGAGGTCAGCGGGCAGCGGGGTTCTGGGTGTCCTCTGGGCACAGCAGGCTGCTGGCAGTGCTGTGGAACGGGGAACGCCTCCGGGCTCCGCAGCACGGCGTCCTTTCTGTCCCCCTTTCCAGGCCACGTGGTGTTTGGCGAGCCGATCACGGCCAGCCTCGGGACCGACGGGACGCACTACTGGAGCAAGAACTGGGCCAAGGCTGCGGCGTTTGTGGTCTCTCCGCCGCTGAGCCCAGACCCAACAACTCCTGACTACATCAACTCCCTCCTGGCCAGGTGCGTGGCAGCTCTGCCGGGCGATGCTGTGGGTGGGAAGAAGCAGATTCCAGCCTCAGATAGGGAGGGATGAGGTTAGGGAGTGCCTGGGCAGCGTAGACATTAGTCCAACCTGAACCCCGTCCCTGTAGATATTTAATGAGCTGACTGATGAAGTGGCTCCGACTCAGCCGTGGTGGCTTGTCCCTGAGCGTGGAGGGAGGACAGGGGAGGCACCGTAACCTTAACACCAGTAGTGAGTGAAGGACCAGGACAGGTAGTCATGAACCGTTTTAAGTGCCCTGAAGAGGGCAAAGAAATGAAAACCAGCTAACACAGGCTTGTTCATGAAAGTGTTCACCAGGGTGGAGGAGCCCTTCTGCATGCGTGAGACGGGGAGAGGCTGCCTTGGGGGGGAAGATGTGTGCAGGAGGAGGTGGGAGGGTTCCAGGTGTCACGAGCTGGCGGGGCCACCAGTTGAGTACAGAGCAGATGTTCGTGTCGTGCCTGTGCAGGTGAGCAGCAGCACCGCCTGCAGAGTGCACCAGCCTTTAAGGGCAGCTCACGCATGTCTGGCAGGGATGGCAGCTCTTCTTTTCACCCTGAAGGCAAGGGGGTGGGGAAGGGATTTGTTGAAAATAGCGAACAATAAAAGCACTTCAGCAATTTGCTTTGACCTTTCCCAGTTATACTCCCATCCTCTCACTGGCAAGGCACGCGCAGCAGCTGGGGACATGGCGCTCGTTGCTGGTCCTGCCCATGCGCCTCGTGCGGGTCCCACGCCCCTCTCCCTGCGTTTGCACGCTGAGCCGTGTGCGTGGCGGCTGGTCTGTGTTAGCCAGGAGACGACTGGCACTGAGGGGGTTGTAAATGGAAATGGCCTTTGAGGTAATGCTGGAAACATCTCTGGCTAGTCGAGCAAGGATGACTGGTCAGTAAGCTCTCGGCAGAGGGCACGTTAGGATAAACCTGGGTTGCACTGGGGTGGAGATGCCGTGGCTGGGGTGAGAGGTGCCAGCGCTGGGGTCTGAACGTGCAGCTCACCCTGGATTTCGCTGTGGTCAAGGAGCAAGAGATGCCTCTGCTCAGTCTGGGTGTGTGAATAGGTGCAGGTCTTAGGGACTGGCAGGGAAGAGTGAGCCCAGCTACTGAGCTGGCTTTCTCATCCTTCCCTTCCACCTCAGATTTACCCCAGACCTCAAGGGAGAGGCAAGAGCACTCATGAGTCCCTGCAGCCCCCAGCTGTCTGTCCTGACACAGTTCCTGTGCAGTTTCTGTGAGGCTGGAGCAGCAGGAGCGGCTGCGAGGCTCCAGCTGGGCTGGATTGCTTGTTGTCTTGCTCTGGGACAAATCTGGTGGAGATTAGGAAGCACGTTGTGCCATCAGCCTGGGTCTCTGGCTGTGCAGTCAGTCAGACATATGGCAGAAATTACCAGAGGAAGATGGAGATTACCCGTGGATTAGGGCTGATTCGCAGCCCCGAGCAGAGCCGTTGTGTCTGTGCGGTCCTGGGTTCGGGCACAGCCTGCCTGGGAGCTGGGGGCTCGAGGCCACCTGCCTTGCATGGGCAGCACCAGGAGCTGCCCTGCCTCAGTCTGCGTCCTTTTGTCTGGCAGCGATGACATTCCAGCTGCTGCCTGTCCGCTGCTCCCGGGGACCCAGCAGCAGCCAAGTGACCTCCAGGGAGCCACGGGCAGCTCCTCGCCCTGCCTGTCGGCAGGTGCTGGCTCTGCCCGTTCCTGCCCTCTGCCATCACTCTCAGGAACGGGATGGGTCTGACATCCTGTCTGACTGGTGACCCCTTTTGGGCAGGGGGGTCTGGATAACGGTGCTGGGCAGCAGCCGCTGTGGAGTGCCGCAAGTGAAGCTTCTCTGGGCCTCCTGGAGAGAGGTGCCTCTGGGGGTCCCGACTCTTCATCCGGCTGTCAGATCTATGTGTGGCCATGGGGGCATTTGCTTTTGTGGCAGTGATGTGGCAGAGATGCTGTAGCTTGGGCCGGGGGCTGCAGCGCGGGCCAGCCTGCACCTGCAAGTGCCCCTTGGTCTGTGCTGCCGGCTGCTGCAGCTCACGCTGTGGGGGTCTGTGCGGGGCTGAGAGGAGCCTTCAGTGAGATGTTTTTTCTCTTTGTGTCAGTGCAAGTGTTGCTGTCTCGTATGGAAGGACATCTTTTGGCTTGACAGAGGCCACCCTGTTCCCCCAGGCGTTTTCCCCGGGAGCTGAGCACTCTTGTGTGCAGGATGCTGTCCCTGCCCCAGGTGGGCAGTGGGACGTGGCAGAGCTCTCTTGCCTGCGTGCCCGCGGGTGATGCTGACGCTGCAGGGGCTGAGCTGGGTGGAAATCTTCAAACTGAGGGGCCGTAGAAATGGGGGTGCCGAGTAAAACAGAGCTGAGCCAGGGGCTGCCCATGCCCAGACGAGATCTGCGTCCCTCGTGTCCCTGCTGTTGTCTGACCGTGACACGGCTGACAATGCTTTTGTTACCACCACCCCTCAGCGGTGACCTGCAGGTTTCGGGAAGTGCCCACTGTACGTTCAGCACTGCGCAGAAAGCCATTGGAAAAGACAACTTCACGGTGATCCCAGAAGGGACCAACGGCATAGAGGAACGAATGTCTGTCATCTGGGACAAGGCAGTGGTAAGAGTCGCGCCAGGGAGAGGGCAGAGCGGACAGGGCTGATCCTGGGTTCAGGGTGAGCAGCCAGGGGCTGTGACTGTGTCCCCAGTGTTTGGTCTGTCTGGTGACAATAGTGAGATCAGCCGCAGCCATCTGGGCTCAGCCAGCCAGTGGCTTGTTTGGGGGTGGGGCTGGGGCTTCCCCGGGGCTTTGTGCGCTAGTCCAGCCAGTGGCTTGTATGGGAGTGGGTCTGGTGCTTCCCGGGGCTTTTACTCTCCTTTTCCCCAAATGAGCTCTCAGTTCTCTTTATGTCTGAGCAGGCCACAGGAAAGATGGATGAAAACCAGTTTGTGGCTGTGACGAGCACTAATGCTGCAAAAATCTTCAACCTGTACCCACGGAAAGGGAGAATAGCAGTGGGCTCGGACAGTGATCTGGTTATCTGGGATCCTGATGCAGTGAAGATCGTCACGGCAAAAACCCATCAGTCTGTAAGCACTCTGCTCGTCTGTGGGAATGCTGGGGGCTGGCCTGCGAGCAGCACCGTGTACAGGCTGCCTGGCTGCTGGGAGCTTGGCGCTGCCCATGCTGGGCTCGGAGGAGCAGGGACTGAGTCCGGGCTCCGGGCGATGCCAGCTGTGACTGTGGGGCAGGATGTCCGTAAGCCCTGGGCTCTGCACACAGGGCTTTTCCCACCCTGCTGTGGTGGTGGTCTCCTGACCCTGGCCCACACCTTGCTCCTTATCTGGGTTCCTCTTCCAGGTACAAATTTGTCCTGGCTTTGCCAGCATGCTTTGTTCATGCCTTACCGCAGGCCTAGGTCCTGCCCTCCTCTGCTGCTCACACCGAGCTCTGAAGCAGCAAGTCCTGGTTCATGTTGGGAGCTCTGGTGGGTTCTTCGTGTTGGAGGAGAGAACTGTAGGGGCAGGCAAGGCTGTTACAGGTGTCATCTCCCTGCACCGGAGACTCCAGCAGCGAGGTGTGGGGACTGAACAGCCCCGAGTGGGCAGGCAGTGCTCATGTCCCTCCTGACCATCGTCCTCTGGTTGCTGCAGGTGGCTGAATACAACATCTTTGAAGGGATGGAGCTTCGTGGGGCCCCGCTGCTTGTCATATGCCAGGGGAAGATCGTGCTGGAGGATGGCAACCTGCATGTGACTCAGGGGTTTGGACGCTTCCTGCCCTGCAGCCCTTTCCCTGACTATGTCTACAAGCGCATCAAAGCCAGGAGGAAGGTGAGGAGACGGGATGCCAGGAGACAGAGCTGGGACAGTGTTAGCCCAAAGTACCCTTTTCCCTAAGAACTGATTGCTTTTCTTCTGCTGTTCTCACTGGACCCCAGAAGGTGCTGCAAACTGGTGCATTTTAAACCTACAGTTGGGACATCTGAGGCTTGGGTCTTGGTGTTGTGGCGTGCCACCGCAGGAGGCAGGTGCTCAGCTGGGTCGGCAGTGGGTGATGCCTGCCCTCGTCTTGCTACAGGGGAGTCTGGAGGGAAGCGCCAAGTTAAAAACAAGGAGACTGGGCAAAATGGCCTTCTCCTTCCCCATCCATGCAGCATAAACCCGTGCTGAGGGATTGCCTGTTACACCAGGCTCTGTGCTCTGCAGGATGGGAGCAGAGGGAGGTGGTCACACAGGAGGTGGGCTGGGGGACTGCACCAGCCCTCGGCGGTGCGGGGAGGTCTTGGGCGTGCAGGACGAGGGGCACGGGTCTGGCAGTGTGCATGGCCTCTGCAACGGGACTGAGGAGCCAAGGATCGCTGGAGGATGACGCTGCCGTGGCAGGATGCTCCCTGGGAGCAGAGGAGTGTCACTGTCCTCTTCTCTCCGGTGACAGATGGCGGAGATGCACGCCGTGCCCCGGGGCATGTATGATGGACCTGTGTTTGACCTGACTGCCACCCCCAAGGGGGGCACCCCTGCGGGGTCAACCAGGGGGTCCCCCACACGACAGACACCCCCCGTCAGGAATCTCCATCAGTCTGGATTCAGCCTGTCAGGTGAACACGCGACGCGCGGCGTCTGGGCTGGGAGAGCGCATAGCCACTGGCCACACTGTCCCGGCCCGGGAAAAAAGATGGCCCCGGGGCAAGCTGGGCACAGGAGCGGAGTGTGGCAGGGTGTCCCTTAACGGACGTGGCTGGAGCTGGCCCTCCGCCCTGCTGCACCTCGCAGTAGAAGCAAGGAGGGCTGCGGCCAGGGAGGTGCCAGCGGAGCATCAGCCCCTGCTCTCATGGCGTGGGTCTGTTCAGGGAGGAGCGTCTGCGGGGCGGAGACGGTCGAGCCACTGCTGCTCTGGGGGTTGTTACTGGAGCTGGAGAGGGAGCAGGCTGCTGTGACAGCCTCGGGAGGCCCTTTGGCAAGCCCCAAATCTGCCCGAGTGCTCAGTGCTGTGAAGAAAACGCTCTTAACTTAGCTTTCCCCCTTCCCTGTGTGCTTTCTCGTCCTCTCCCAGGTACCCAGATCGATGACGGCGTTCGCTCCGCGAGCAAGCGCATTGTTGCGCCCCCGGGAGGCCGCTCCAACATAACCTCCCTGAGTTAAACATCCGTGCCGAGAAGGAAACAAAATCCCTGTGCAAGCGAAGGAAGAAAAATGGTACATTGGTGTTTAAGAAGGAAAAACAAATAAACCTGCTCTGAAGAATCAATAAGCCTCAAGCCTTATGTTTCACAAATGTTACTTGCTACCTAGCTTTAAAGAAATTGCTTCATTTTGTTTTATGCATAGCCTTAAAATTCTGTTGTTGCTGTGGGTTTGGTGGGGTTGTGTTTTTACTCTTCCTTTCTGTATGCATGCCACTCAGACAGGTCGCTCAGTCCAGTGTGTTATTGGTGTGGAACGCATCTGGGATGCCGTGGTGTGGGACAGCAGGAACGCCCCGGCGTGGGGCCGGGGGCTGGCCGGGGGCACGGTGTGGGATGGGGAGGGCAGGTCCACGGGAGCTGGCAGGGGCAGGTGGGTCTGTGTTGTGTTTGTGTCCTCCATCTCCACCCAGTGCCGGTTGGCACTTCACCGCAAGGCCCGTGGGGGAGCCCAAATCATCTCTGTAACAGCCGTCACAGTGCCCGCATAAGGGGTTTCACTACTTTGTACACTTTATTAAAAAAAAGTTGTTCCTTCAACCAACTTGTGTTGCTGGTTGGCGTTTTTCTTCCTCCGGCTGCTGCTGGGCAGGGGCGTGCAAAGCCGTGCCCGTGGATGAGCCGGGCAGGGGGTGCAGGAGGGGTTTGGGCTGTGCTTGGGCTGGAGGAGCTGCAGGGTGGACCCCTGCGGTGCTCGCTGCTGTAGGGGCCCTGCTGTGGGTGTAGCTTCTCGGGCAAAAGCAAAGGTATCGGCAAAACTGTTGCAAGTGTTTGTAAAAGCTTGTTCAGTGCATCCCTCTGGTCTCTGGCTGCAGCCTGACCTGGCCATCACGGGCTGTTACCGCCCAGCGAGAGCTGTCCCTGTCATCTGTGCGGTGACAGAGACCAGCTCCGCGTGGCGCTGCCGGGATGTGGTGTTGGGGTCTTCCCGGCTGGGGATGGCTTGGAGGCTATGGGCACCTGGGAGTTAAATGGTCCCCTTCTGTCAAGAGGTGTTTATCAAACCCAGGGTCACAGCCTCCTGAAGCTTGCAAAGCATGCAAGAAAAGCTTGATTGTTTTTTAAATATTACAAAAATTAAATGTCAATTTAGGCTGTGCTAAATAAATAAATTATTTTTTTCTTCCTTAAGTATTTGACCTTGAAATATTTATTTTTGCATGCCTGCAACTCAGACAGGACAAGATGTCCATGCAGCAGTCCTTGAGGGGCCATGCCAGAATAGTTGTGCCAGGGGCAGGGAAGGCTGTTCATGCTTAGGAGTTTTGTGAAGTTCGGCTATTAATTAAAGATTCTTCTGTGTTGCCTGTTAGTGATTAAGCTGAGACTGTGCCTCTGTTTACAGAGGAAGAGGGGAAAGGAAGAGATGGTTTTAGAAGTCTTTGGGGAATTTTTAAAGATGCAATGCTTTTACCATTTAAGTTCTCGAGGTTTTTTTTTTGGTCAGCTGGTGCAACAGTACTTATGCAGCAACAGATTTTCCCCAGCGAGGAGCAGGGCTGGTTTCCTGGGCTCCAGATCAATGCATTTATGGTGGTTGAACCTCTCCACTCCCTGCACCAGGGCGAGGCAGCTGCAGCTGTGTGCGAGTCAGGGACAGGTACCACTGCTGGCACAGTCCCCCTTGACCATGCCTGGCCCCAGACCCCCAGACCCGCTGCAGGACTGGGCAAAGAGCAGAGGATCGATGGAAAATGATGCAGGGGCTCTGGCCAGCCTCCCTGGGAATGGCAGGTCTGAAGGCAGAGAGACGCGGAGACCCCTACCCCGCTCAGCAGACGGGCAGAGCGAGCACGCAGCCGCGCTGGTTTGGGCGTGCTGTGACTTAGCAGGAGAAGGTGGCTTTCCCGTTGCAATGACTGCCTTTGAGGACTCCGATAACCACTTACTGGTGAGCTCGTTCCACTCCAGCTTTGCAGCTCCCTGGACAGAAAGCAGTGGCGCTTTCCCGGTCGGTTGTTTCCACGCTGGCAGCGTGCAGCGATGCTGCTGCCCTGCACACACCGTGCTGGACTGTGCCAAGAGCCTGACCTGAGCAAATAAAACCAGGCTACCAAGCACAGCGCGTGGAAGCCGGTGGTGGTGCCGCAGTGCATCCGTCCGCACGCCTGCAGGACACTTGCCAGCTGTGCAGAGGAAACCAGGGCACGCTGCACGGCAAAGGCTGCAGCCCCGGTGTCAGTCATGGACCGAATCCACAGCTCCGTAGGCAGAGGTTGTCTGCTTGGGTAAATGGGAGGCAAACAGTTCATCACGCATTTATTATATTGCTGAGAAGAGGAAAAATGTCAAATAAGGAGGTGAAACCTCTTAAATAACAGCATCATTCTGAGCATTACTGCAATAGCAATGCTTCGGCCAATCCCAGTCTTGGCAAAGACTGCACCAGGAGTACAGCTGTTCCCGCAAGCGGTAGTTGCTTAAATCGAGCATGATTTCAATGGTAGAGCAATGAAAAATACACATTCAAATTTACCTCTGGCGTTGGAAGCCAAACCCCATCAGTCAGTGAGCTGCAGCAGTTTAATGTGATGGTGAGTGGGTTTTTTCAGGGTGGCCTGGAAAAGCATCTGGGTGCTGGTTACTCGCTAATGCCTGTTGTTTTCTCCTCATTAGACATCTGCCTGCGTGCTCTGACTGCCCACCGTGCCAGCCCTGCTCTGTGAAAAATGGGCACAGGAACCAGCACGGAGAGAGGGGGACACGGACGGGAAACCTTTGCTGCCTCCTCTCGGCTAAGGAAGGAGATCGTCGCCGCTTCCAGCTCTCCGTGCCCATGCTCACGGGATGTTTGCTTCTATAAGCAAAGGCCACCTTTGCTGCTCTGTGCTGGTGGAGCAGCTCGAGAGCATCCAAGAGCCACCTCTTCATCTGGAGCCGTCAGCTGTGAGCCCACGCGGCAGCCCCGACCTCCACAGAGCCCAGACCCACCAGCACGACCGATACCAGCGATGACACCTCTGCGAGTGATGCCCACCCAACCCTTTGGTCGTGCTGCCGGCAGCACCAAGGGCTGGGATGCGGCAGCCAAGCCGGAAGGGTCGATACTGAGCGTCTCATCCATTTCCACATGGTCACATTCCTGCCACCAGGAAAGGTAAAATAACAGGATCTGTGTCTGTCAGACTGTGGCGAATTGCAGAGGCAGCATCCACAGCCTCTCCCCCCCACAGCCAGGATCTGTGGGCTGGGGGTGGGAGGCAGAGGGAGCGGGTGTCCCGGCCCCACCGTGGGCTGTCGGCAGTGTCCCCGCAGCGGTGGCCGAGGCCGGTGGCCTGGCTCCATGACGGTGTGTGGGTCAGCGAGCACCGCCCCGCAGGGAAAAAGCTCCAGCAGTGGCTGTGCTGCTCTCAGAGGTCCTTGTTCTGGTTGCCCTCCTCGTGCCCACCTCTGCTCTCTGCCAGCATCATGGGCTCCTGGGTGTCGCTGTGGCACCGTCTCACCCTTGGGGATGGAAAGGGATGGTTGGGTTGGGAGGGAAAGCCCAGGCAGCACTGAGCCCCTGCAGTGCTGTGACCCCCCAAGAGCATCCCCTTCCCAGCATGAGCCATCACTCGCCC